TTAAAATAAAACGGATATTCGATTGTGAAAATTAATATTCGACTGTGGAAAAAAACACATCAGCGGCTGCTTTGCGAGTGGGTGCACTGCATGATGGGACAGGCCACAGGAGTTGCACTTGCACAGCGTCACTCACTGCTGAAAGTGAGACGCGACCACGGTTGCCAGGTGGGTGGATACAAATTTGGGCTGGTTTCGGATCAGTTCGGTGGGGTTTTGTAGCCGAAACACGGGCACTTCAGATCCTTCTTCCTGCGACCCTATGTTCAGCAGGCAGCAGTCATTCACTCTCATACACACCCACTACAGCTCTGGCTGACGTGCCCCCTAAACTCGCAATATACACTTCCACTACCCTCAGCTCACATCACCCACAGAGACCCGTTATTACCAACCGTTATTAATAAATTGTTTATTTTAATCAGTAGAGAGAGAGGTGGGGGCGAGCGACGGAGCGGTCTTTTTTTACGGTTAGTTCATTTACTTATTTTGTAATGTGAACGTATGTTTTATGTTAAAACTGAAATAAAAATACCTATACAAGTAGTTATGTCTCGTTGTATTAGTTTGTCCTCCTGTTATTGACATAATGCGCATGCACATATATTCGAATGGTTCGAACCTATGTGTTTTTTTAGAGCAAATATTCAAACGTCATTTTGGAGCAATTTTGACAGGCCTAGTACCTATCACTGAATTAAGTCATTGTGAAATCTGATATTGTATTATCACTGTTACTCTGGAGTATCTGTGTGCGTGACCACTATGTGCATTAGAAATAAACCTTACAAAACACTGATGCAATGAGAAACAAAACATGCAAGGATAGTTAAGAAACATTTAACGACTAATTATGACCACAGGACAATAGTGGAGTGGTGCAGAGTGAAAAGATTCTCAAACAAATATGGATGGATAACATACAGGTTACACTTTTTTTTATCAACAAAAATAAATATAGGTACTAGTTATCATCTTTAAAGTCATATTTGATAATTAACATCTGGGCCTCCTCATCATCTTCTAGTCTTAGTCTTGAGGAAAAAGGTTATTGACAAACATATTTTGTCATAGTTTAGGCTGATGAAACTAAAACTACACACAATGGCATATAAACTCAATGGAACTACACAAGTGGACACATCTGGGTTTGTTGATAATATTTTAACAAGACAGAACTATTGAAGTTCTTTATTAATTTGTCATTAAATTTAATCTACAAAATGTATTTTGTAACTCCAAAACCAAAACGTATACAATTGACTGAGACATAAAATAGAACAACACAAAATCATCATAGAGAACATACATTATTTTACAAAATAGCCCCCGGTTATATATCTGTAAAATTAGTAAATAATTAATCAAATAGTTGCAGCTATAGCCTAATTGAAAGCACAAATGAATTGAAGCCAACATAAGCTGCTTTCAGACATTTTCAGACGTATTTTCTCCAGAGGAGGTGCATGTATGAAAGGAAATGTTCGAGTGAGATGCTCCACAGTTTCTACAGAATTTATCCACCTGGCATCCTAGTATTAAGTCCATAGAAATCCAGGAGAAGTCGACGCGAGAACACAGCAGGAGATACCCTGCTGGATTCATCACAAACGAGTATGAGGCTTGATGACACTTCTAACAGGCGACAGACGCAAAAATGAAAAGACAAAAAAAAAAACAAGCAAAACTAATATCTTTATTTTACCCTGTCCTGTCTGCTATTAAGTTCAGTGTATGACAGTAAATGGAGTGGAGCAACCAAAGGAATCAATAGACGTTTAAAGGGATTGAGGTAAAACCTGATTCCTCTCTTATTAGGAACAAATAGGGTGGCTGTGCCCCATTGAACAACAAAAAGTGCTAGTAATAGAAGCACTGTATGTATGAATGTGTGTGTGAATGGGTAAATGAAAAACTGTAACGTAAAGCACTTTGAGTGGTCATCAAGACTAGAAAAGCGCTATATAAATACAACCATTTACCATTTAACTAAGGCATTCAACATATGTTACTACAGGTTAGTAGCTGTGCAAGTCATGAGGCCTGACTTGACAACAAATCTTTTAAGTTGTACTGACTGTGAAATGTACATCATTAATATTCCAAGTTATAGTTAGTTGTGGGTCATTTACAAAAGAAAATGTGTAAGCCTAGTTATGTACATGAACAGGCATAAATGGTGAGCATTAAAATGTAGAAAAGAGGCAACTAAATCAATTATGTTGCACATAGGAGATACCACGATTTAACCACCCACCTCTGCGGTTGTAATGCCCTTAGAATTTAAATTTTCCTATGATGCTACTGCTTCTGCCCCACAGTCTAAATGAAAACAAACGCAAAAGCCCTGCAAAATCAATGTGCCCAACCTTAAGTAGACATGTGAGTGAAATGGCCTCACCAAGGTATTTGATGGTGAATCCCCGAGGTGGATTGAGGTACCTCCGCATCCATCCATCCCTCAGCACCTCCAGGTGGTCCTCTTTCCCCTGGATCAGCAGCACATGCTCCTCTATCCAGCCCAGGAAGAAGGTCTCGGACATAGCCTCGGTAATCCGTAGGTTCCACACACGTTGCTGGGTATTTTGTGCTTTGAAATCGGCAAAAATCTCATAGCCTGTGTGGTGCCTCGGCAGGTCGTCGCTCTCTGAGACCCCGGCCGCCCCCGTCGCTTCCCCAGTCTCGACCCTGGCTAGCACGATTGCCAGGGAGTGGGGAGCTATCTGCAAGGAAGTCTCCATTATCGTGTCGGCCTTCTAGAGGTTTTCCTCTTGCAGTCTCCTCATTGCATTTCCCAATGCGAGACACAGTGAGGCTTGGTGGAAATAATACCGTCCATATTGGCTAGCACCGTCTAAAGCGACGTGCAACGCTCTTCAGACTACCGACGTGTTTCCACGAAGCTAGCCCACTAGCTCCGACTCATTACACTGAACACATTCATGCACCTTTTAGGTCCGTCTTCTTATATGGACGTGATATAACGCTCCGTTACCGCCCCTGTATTTACTGGAGATCCCCGTAAAACACTGTCCACCACAAATGACAGCCGACATTTGCGATTTTCAATACAACCCTGATAGTTACGTTAATTGCCTAGCATTACAGCTAGCTAACTGGATGCTAATTTGGAAATTAATTCACCCACGCAAAAGATGCAACCAGACCCCTCCTCTCGTCGCCGGCCACAAACCCGTACTCGTGGGACACCTGTTTGTTGCTGCCTTTAAGGTTAACAAGGGGGCGATGTCAGCAGCCGTGGGGGAACGGTGTCGTGTTGTGGCCTGGCACGCTCCGATCCAGTGCAGGGGAGCATTGCAAGATTCGGGACGGTCCTATCCAGGTTCCAGGTATGATAACGGCGTCAATACGGAGTTCTGAAACGGAGTGGCAATTACGCAAACAGCACATTCTTGTTCTTCTTCCTCTTCTTCCTCTTCTTCTTCTTCTTGTTCGATTTATTCGGCTTCTTCTTCTGCTGCTGCTGCCCCCGCTGCTTTTTTAAGGTGGTTGGCAAACAACGTTTAGGTTGCATTAACGCCACCTTCTGAACTGGAGTGTGAATCCGAATGTTTCTCAGTCAACACAAAATTATTTTGATTAGTCCTGTTCAAGTTAGAAAAGAAAATATTAAAACTTATATTACGTATATATATGAATACATTCTACATGCACAGAGTTCAATGTCAGCATTTCTTCCAGTAGCAATGTAATGACAATTTGCCTTTCCTGTTTGTATTGATGACATTGAATCATTAAATGTTCTATGGTTTCCTGTGTGTTACAGTAATCACAATCACATCTACGATTACGTACCCTCTATCTTACATGATAGGATACCCATTTTCTCTTCTATTTCCAGCCATTCTTTTAATCATACCCCATACCCTGTCTAGTGATGTAGTTCTACATAGTAAGTCATAATATTACTTCCAATAATAAGTTTACTTTTGTACTCAATAAAATATTGAAAATTGTGCGTATTCTTCAATACCTTGAATGCCTTATTTCTATTTTTATTGAATTTTGGGTGCACAGGAGGAGGTTAATAAAGATCTTTTAGAGGATGTAATGGATGAAAAATAATTAGTGTGTTTAAATGATGGATGAGGAAAAAGGGTGAATTTGGTGAAAGGAAGAGAGTCAGCTATAGATCTATCTTTAGTTGAACAGTCATTATCCGGTAAAGCTTGTTGGGTAGTATTCAAAGAAAGCCCCATAGAGAGTGATCACTATCCAATATTCAAGAAGGTAGGTGTAGAAAGGAAAATGGATTAGGATGACAAAGAAGGCAGATGGAAGTTTGAAGGAGCAAATTATAATAAATTTAGACTATTATCAGAAGACAAATTTAAGCATGTAAAATTAGATCATAGATGACATCAGCAGAGAAATATACAGCATTATTATTGGGGCAGCAAAAGAGTAAATTCCAAGTGTTGGGAATAAAAATGTCACTCAGACGTATTAACTTCTGCTAGCTTAGCCACTTCTGGTGGACTTTAGGCTTAAAACATGGTATAAATTAAATGGTTTCGAGTTGAATATGAATGTTGGGGCTTGCAGACACTGGGTTGACACCACATGAGCAGTATGGAGGCATGTTCAATTTTTCTGTTTTATTACATTTGAAAATTTGGTCACCAGTTACTTCAATTGAATTGAATACTGCTCTAACACTGTTTACCCCTGAGTCTCCTCAAGTTGTTTGTGGACTCAAACACTTCACCCATCCCTCTATCGGCATTGGTGAGTAGATAATGAGTGAACTAGCCTTTTAATGGCTGTGTGTCCTCTATTCACTGTAATGCAAGCATTATTGAAATGATTTCTCCTGTATATGCCTATAGCGCCTCACTGTTCTTTTCCCCTATTTTGGAATTATAATTGCTACTCCCACCTTATTGAATAAAATATTTGATGGATTCATATATACCTAAATGTAACTGTAGTAACTGTCAATATGAACATGTATTGTATGCAAATTGAAAATAGCCGCTCTATCCTTTTTTTGCTTTTTTAATAATGTGAAATCTACAGTAGCATCAGGAAGTATTGCTCGAAATGGTACTGTTGGACTGAAATTTAATTCTGCTGTTTAGTTCTGTTGCTCTTTTTGCTACTGTCCGTCCAGAGCTCTGTGTCTCTCTTATCTCGTTTACCAACAAAGTTTTAAGTGTCCTGTGTTGCATTTTCTTGTGTCCCTGTAAATTACCCAATAGTTTAATACAAACTGAGCATTTCTCCCATTTCTACCTGTAATGCTGCTGTTGGGTTTGTTTTGAAAGCACCTGTACATAATCTCATTGCTTATATTGAATACTATCTAATTTTTTGAGAGATGTGCTCGCTACTGATCCATATACCACACAACCATAATCTAATGATGATCTAATTAATCCACTGTATATGATCTTCAGAGCAGATCTATCTGCCCCATTCACGTCCCACTAATTATATTTAGCACTTTCTTACACTTATCCATTACTTTTTGAATATGTTTAACCCATGTAATTCTTTCATCAAACAACAACCCTAAAATGTAAAGCACTTTACTATGTCCAGTCTGATTATATAGATTTAGTTATTTTCATTACCAATTTCTTTCCTTGTAAAGAACATCATTTTTGTCTTATCCACTGAAAATTTCAAACCCCATTAATTTGAGCATTGTCACACCACGGTAAAATCAAATTAAGTTTTTGTCCTGTCTCCATGTTTGTATTGTGACTTCGTGTTTAATTTTGAAAAGTAACTCTCCTTTCGTTTCAGGTCACTTGCCCTTCCTCATGTGCCTCGGTCTGATTGTCTTCTCCGATCCTGATTATACTCACCTGTTTCCCATTACCTCCATGTGTGCTTATAGTCTGCGTCTCCCCTTTGTCCTGTGCCAGTGTGTCTTGTCCCTTCATCAAGTGCCACCAGCCTTTTCGTCTCGTTATAGAACCATAGTAACAGTCGGTTGCCTCCTTAAGAGTGTTTTTTTGTTGGTGTAGTTCAGTTATCTTTAGATCTTGTCCCTCTTCGGAGAAGATTTGACACGAGGGAGACTTGGAGGTAGGACTCGGACGCAGATTTTAGGAGAATGCTGACAATGATCAGGTCAAAAAAACTCTTAGCGAGGCAACCGACTGTGACTATGAATATCTTTCTGTGACGAGGCAAAAGGCTGGTGGCACTTGACGAACGTACAAGACACGCTGGCACAGGACACCAGGCTGGCTCCCCCGGAACAATACTCCGGGGATCTGGGACAAAGTAGGTYGTTCATTACAGAATGTGAGATGCACTTGAACACTCACCCCATGACTTTCCCACAGAACGATCAAAGGTCGCATTTATGATGTCTTACCTCACGGGGAGGGCCGAGCGGAGTGGGCGTGGGACTCTGATGTGTGTGGCTCAATCAGTGACTTCGCCGGGGCGCTCAGAATGTTTTTTGACCCCGTGGCGATCGATAGGGAGAAGGCTCAGGAGCTCTGCGGACTGAAGCGAGGAGGAGAATAAGTCCTTGATTACGCCCTCCGCTTCCACACCCTGGCGACGGAGAGCGGCTGGAACTCCATGGCGTTATATAACGTATTTCTGAAGGGGTTGTCAGACCCCATCCAGGATTTTCTGGTCCCGTTGGACCTCCTCCCGGACCTCGACTCCCTCATCGCCCTCGCCATCCGCACGGATAATCGGCTGCAGGAGCAGCAGCGCGGAACCAAGATTGTGCCAGCAACTACGCAGGGTGCCTCCGCTGCTCTCTGTCAGTTGTCCCCTGATCACCATCCCTGATCCTCTTCGGAACGTGAAAAGGAGCCCATAAAGCTGGGAAGGGCCCGGCTCTCTCAGGAGGAGCGACAGCGACGTTTCCAGGAAGGCAGGTGCTGTTACTGCTGCACACAGGGCCGCCAGATGAGAGCTTGATTGACTGGGTGTTAGCTCAGAAACTGGGGCTTCATATCCAACCGCTGAGCAAGCTCATTAAGGCATGTGCCCTCAACGGAAGCGCGCTGTTTGACATTACACATATCACCGAACCTGTAGACATCCATATAGCGGATCATTGGGAGCGCATTAGACTGTACCTAATGGACTCACATCTGCACTCCATCATCCTCGGGCACCTGTGGCTAGTGCGCCACAACCCAACCATAGATTGGCACACTGGGGACATTACTGGGTGTGGGGAGAGTTGTAGGGGCCGTTGCCGGAAGTCGGAGCCCTGGAGTAATACGGTAACATTGAGTAATGTCATTTCTGTTAACTCTGTCACAGCCCCGGAGACCTCTGACTTGACCACAGTGCCGAGCTGTTATCACCACCTAGCTGAAGCTTTTAACAAAGAGAAAGCCACCTCTCTTCCGCCTCACCTGAGAGACTAGCCATGAAGGAATATATTGAAACTTCCCTGAAAGCTGGACTAATTCGACCTTCCTCATCCCCGGCCGGAGCTGGATTCTTTTTTGTGGGGAAAAAGGATGGGACCCTCCGTCCCTGTATAGACTATAGCCCCCTCAACGACATCACAGTTAAAAATAGATACCCCCTCCCCCTCATGACGTCAGTGTTCGATCAACTACAGCAAGCTCAGATCTTCACCAAGTTAGATCTGCGAAATGCATACCACCTCATCCGCATTTGGGAGTGGGATGAGTGGAAGACGGGTTGAGACATTATGAGTACTTAGTAGTGCCATTTTGTCTCACCAACGCCCCAGGAGTATTCCAAGCCATGATTAATGATGTATTAAGAGACTTTTTAGATCAGTTTGTTTATGTTTATCTAGACAACATTCTTATTTACTCTCCCGACTTGGAGACCAACCACAGACACGTCAAGCTCGTTCCGCAACGTCTCCTAGCAAATAAGTTATATGTGAAAGCAGAAAAGAGCGAATTTCATGCTGATACCATCTCCTTCCTGGGCTTTATCATAGCCCCTGGAAGGGTTTAGATGGACCCAGCTGAAGTGAATGCGTAGCTGAGTGGCCGACACCTGATAGTCGCAAGAAAGTGCAGCAATTCCTAGGTTTCACTCACTAGGTTTTACAGGTGGTTCATCAGAGGCTTTAGCGCAATAGCTGCTCCTCTCCACGCTCTCACTTCTCCGCAGGTGCCATTCCGCTGGTCCTCCGACACGGACGCAGCGTTCCAAGAGCTTAAGCGGAAATTCAGCACGGCGCCTATCCTAACGCTTCCCTCTCGCCAGTTCGTGGTGGAAGTGAATGCTTCCAACAGGGGGTTCGGGGCCGTCTTGTCCCAGTGAGCAGAGGTGGACAACAAGCTGCATCCCTGCGCCTTTCTGTCTCGGTGCTTGACGGCAGCTGAGCGGGACTACGATATGGGAAATCGTGAACTGTTGGAGGAGTGGTGGCACTGGCTGGAGGGGGCACAACACCTGTTCTCGGTTTGGACAGATCACAAGAATTTGCAATACATAAAGAGAGCTAAACAGTTAAATTCCCGTCAGG